TCTTGTTTCTTAAGGCTGTTTGTTAAGCTACCAAACAGTTGTAAATATAAACTTAAAAGCTTTAATTCTAAAACAAAAAAGCAGTATTCTAAAAACATTAAGACACCCTAATTAACAATAAAATTTTATATTGGTTCTTGGATATCTTTTTCATACATTAAACAAGGTGATTGGTTAAAATGGAATAAACATACACATGTCTGTCACAAAATGCTATCTAGTATAGGTTAATAAACTCATTTAACAGAAAGTTTTAAATGATTATAAAAACAAAAATTAATAATACAACAGTATTTAAAAAATATATTACTGTTAAATGTGTTTGAAAGTCTATATTAGATATGCCCACTTTCACAAAGTTTGCTTTCTTTATTGTGCAATATATTGTTTTATTCTTTATATTGCTGAATTATATTTAGAATTATTTATTGTAGTTCAAAATATATTTTTTATTTATTTTTTTAGTCTTCCATGTCGAATGTATGTTTAATAATTTTAAAATAATATTAGAAATATTAGAAAACATAAAGATGCATTATTATTATTGTATGGTTTGATGAGACCGATTTTTGTTTAGATGTAAATATTGTCATTTGTATTTGTATATAACATTGTTTTATTTTTGATTTTGCATGGATGTGTTCCATAAGCTTTGTTTTTTTTTGACAGATTTTTGTGTGATGACGATTTTTTCGCATTTTTGCATTCATAGCTTTAGCATGGATTATTTTACACATTATTTAATATTTATATGTTTTATTGTATCATTTAATAAATAAACTCTTTTTTTGAAAATCTCTCTTTAACTTTAACATCTTTTTGTGCTAACATACTAAGTCTAAAGTCGAAACTGAAAACAGTGAATACATATACAGGGTGACCCAGTGTTTCAAATAAGTTCCATATCAGGCCTACTATTGCAAATCTTCACTCCAGTCTTTTTTGCACAATATTCGGATAATAATTAGTGAACCAAATTTTAAAAAAATATATTTGTGTATGTGTGCGTCTTAAAAGTGGCTCACCCCTATAACTTTTTTATTTTTTCAGATAAAAAAAAAACGAAATTTGGTATGTTAGTATATGACATAAATTAGAATTGATTGACGTATTCGTTTTTGGTCACTTCCTGTTTCACCGGAAATGACTACGACTTTTGTTTTTTAAATCACGCCCTGGGTCTATTTTTACTTCATTCAATAGAAAATGACACTCTGAATAGAATGACATATCATATGGCTACTTTTGACATTTTCGCATATGGTTTATTTGAAATTGTAACATGCGGATAATTTGACTCGAAATACCAAGTGTGTGGTACCAAATTATTCGTATAAAAATGCTTTTTCCACATATGCTAATGAGCCACCCTTGTTGAAAATAATTTGAAAAAATTTAGATAGGATTAAAAATACGATTTGGGCATCTTTTAACCGACCAGGCCAAGACACGAGAAACATTAGATGATCAAATCTATTTTTCCAAGGCCCCTTGATTCTTGATTACAAAACACAGCCATGGCACTCTAGATTGAAATTTAAAATGCGATTTTTTTGTAAGCGAAAATGTCAAAACTTCACATATGATATATCAATCTCTTCAGAGTGTCATTTTCTATCAAATGAAGTAAAAATATACCGATGGTGCCATTTAAAACTCATAAGTAGTAGTCATTTCCGGTGAAACAAGAAGTGACCAAAAATAATTGAATACGTCAATCAATCCTAATTTATTTCATATACTAATATACCAAATCTGTTTTTTTATCTAAAAAAATAAAAAAGTTATGGGGTGAACCACTTTTGAGACGCACCCGGTATATAGAGGGTGATTTAAATGTATTTTTACACTACAGCTGGAGTTTTTTTTTAATTATAGCTTGTATTTTTCACTTAGCAGATTTATAATAATATTTCTCTTTCCATAAATATTATAATGTGGCTACCGAGTGGTTCTTTAAAAATATGACTATTTTTATATTAAATTTTCTACATGTTTAAAGCTCCTTCAAGGTCAGAAAATTGCTAAATATTTACAATTTTTAACTGAAATTAACGTTGTTATAGTGTCTTCTTCATAACTAATTTTATATTAAAATAGGTCGAACCACCTGGTATATACAGGATGAGTCAAAACAAGATGTGTGATATTCTCTGATATTTCAAATTGATTATCCCTATCTACAACAAAATATTTTTTAAATGCCTGCTACGTTTTATATATGAATTATATAAAAAAGAATGGGTGTGAAAATAATAAATAGCAAACCTAATACGGAACTTTTCCGGAACTTTCATGCGCCCTGTATAATAATACATATGTATTAATGTAAGTGAAGTACGATAACCTAGATATTTATCTACAAACCTATTGTCTAACTACGATGACACACATAAATAACCGATGGAATCTACAAATAATAATATTTTTAACAATTTAACACAATTCTATTTTAAAAATAATTTCCCATGGGCCTGTAACTTTAAACGATTCCTAATAATTCTATACCACGATGGCTCGGGACTCATACCATTTATCTTCAGGGCATATTGGTAAGCTTGATATGCACTCACATTTCGGGTATGCTATTTGCACTTTTGCTGTTTGGGGGTGATATGTCAAATTTTTGCATGTTCAGAGGCACACAACCAGTCACAACCAACATAGTCATTACATAGTGTTTTGAAAAGGTGAGCTATATACATTTTTGTTTATTTTTCTTTTATCAGTTTTTTGTCTGTGAGCATGATTTTGGTTTATTCTAAATGTTGCATGTATGTAATAAGTGTACAATATTTATCAGGATGTAACAGAATATATATTCATTCAATTACAACATTCATAATGTATAGTTTGAATGGAAAAATAATAATAAATCAGGCAGAACATTTTTGTTAATAAAGTTTTGCTCCATAATCCCATAATTTTTTTCGGTTTTATATCTTGAAAAACTCATTTATTTAAAAATTATAATATAATTCTTAATATAAGTCACAAACTTAAAAGATTTTTATCTATGATTTTTCAAACTTTTAACTAATAAAAAGCATAATTCAAAATAACAATAATTATATGTATTAGTTTTTATGGTTTATATTAGTAATTTTTTAGTATCTTTCAACTTTTGTGGACCCTTCACTTATTTTTGACAAAATAATATATTTAACATACATCATCTAAGATAATATTCTGTAAGAATTTTATCATTTTTTACACAAATTATTATCTTTTATATCTTAAAAATACTACATAATAACAAACAATATTCCACAATTAAACTAAATCTTTTAGAAAACAATTAAAAAAAAGTTCGTTTTATTTTTAATTATTAATCCAAAATGTATTATATATAATATTGTTACGAATTCCGTGGGTCCTCTAATTTAAACTCACGATAAAACACGTAACGAATTTATTTTCTCACTGTATACACACACACAATTTAACTAATTAATACAAACACCTATTTCGCCAAATCCTTCGCCAATTTGTCACAATTCGCTATTTGTAGAACGCTATTCAAAAACTAAGTTAAACTGTCGAGCGCAGGGATCGCCTTATACAGGGTGGTCCGAACTGTATTCCGGAAACTTCGGCAGCACACTTTCCAGATAAAAATAAGTAAGAAAGTTCATATAAGTAGATGTCCTAAAATGATTAGTTTCAGAGATACAGGGTGTAGAAATTTCATTTTTATTTCGGTTTTATCCTCATCATTTCTGAAGTAACGTCAATAATTTGATGAAAATTGGTGTCTGGGAGGACATGAGAAATTTAATTTTGATGTCAATATGACTCCTATATGTAGGGGGAGGGGCTACATACATGTCTTAACTGTTTTGAAGAGTAATAATTTTTCGTCCGTACCTGTATAAACTACATGCCTCTTGGTAAAAATCGCTACGAGCAACCGTTCTCAAGATATTTAAAATTGAAATAGTCAACACATGTCATTATTGAAAAATTAACTTGAGTTGTTGAGTAAATAGTTATTTGACTGAAATAATAAATTCGGGAATTTTTTTTTATTAATCATATATTTTTCTCCGCAAAAATGAGGATAAAACAGTTTCTGTTGAACTTTTGACACAAAAACATTTCAAATTTACGATTTCAGTTTAGTAACTATTTATTTAGTTAATATGTTTAATTTATGTCCATGACGAGAGGTATTGATAATTGCGATTCCAGATATCTCGAGAGCCATTACTCGTAGCGATTTTTACCAAGTAAAAAACGTCGTAAATGTACATTTTTTAATTAGTAGTTTTATACAAGGTACGGACGTAAAGTTATTACTCTTCAAACCAGGTAAAAAGTATGTAGGTGGCGCCCTCTACTAGTAGAAGTCATATAGACATCAAAATCAAATTTCTCATCCCAAAAACTCCCAGACACCAATTTTCATCCAAATATTGATGTTACTTCATAAATTATCTGAAAAAAATCGAAATAAAAATGAAACTTCTACACCCTGTATCTCCAAAAGTAAGAATTTTAGGACATACATTTATACAAACTTTTTTACTTATTTTTATCTGCAGAATATGCTGCCGAAGTTTCGGGAATACAGTTCGGACCACCTTGTATACTGTAGCAGCTGATTCGCTACATGCATCGTGGTTTTCCGCTCTTCCGGCAGATGTCACCATATACCTTGACAATATTTTTTAACATCAAATTAATATTCACATTCGCGAATTCAAAATTAATATTCGTTACATCGCTAGTACTTACTGCAACGACAATTTCTGTTTTAATCAAATACTTTTATCTTACACATTGATTTTATTTTCCTCTGTTTCACTCTACTTATATTTATTGAAATACATTAAATAGGTACTCATAATATTACTATTTAAATTTGTAATAAACGAATATAAATATAATTTTTTTATTGCAGTACAAATTTTAAATCTCTTACAATTATACAATTCTAAAAGTTATGAAAACCAATGGTAACTATACTCTTTTTTCTAATAAACGATTATCTCTTACAGAAGGCGTCATACCTCCCATATCATCTTCAACAAGTCCCACACTTGGTCGTTACCAAACCCAAGAAGAAATGTTCAGCTACGCTAACAACGAGGCCTATTACGCTTCACCCCAGAGTTATTATCAAGGTGGTAATTTCTACTCAACATTACCAACGAAGAAAACTCAGTATTTCGCCTGCGAAATACCCCAAGAACGAAGCGTGACGCCTGATATAACTAGAGGTCTAGAAAGAGGAAACAGTTCATTTTCCCATGGCAGTACCTTCAAAGATGACCAAAACTTAGTCTGCTACGGCCATCAGGTGGGGATACCTGTAGCACGAGAGTACAATGAGAGTCCTGTTTACAAGGATCAATATTCCTCTAGAATAGCGTCGTATAGCGATAGAGACGATTCACTCAAAATATCCCCCATTGATCCCATCCGACATTCTGGAGGTTTAAAAACGTCGACGCCGTCCCAATTAAAGGCCTCAAGTAATTTGGAAAGCAAATTATTATCTCCCAAACGTAGCGCCATGTCCAACGATGAATTATATGCAGTGATTCATAAAACCAAGAAGAAACTAAATATCGAAGACGACCTAAACAGAATGTCACCTTCGCTTGTTGCCCAAGTGGAACCTGAAACAAGTACACCAAAGAAAGTTAGTGTCGAAACTGGATACATCGGATCCAGACAAAGTTGGTCACCTTCGAAAGGAGAGTATATCGACTTCAATTCCGATATCGATAAATTCTCTCCCATAAATGAACCGAAGAATCGGCAAAGTTGGGCTTGCAGTGACAGAAAAGGCACTAAGAAAACTTCAACGCTGGATTTTAAAAGATTACTGTTGCAAAAAAGCAGCTCTTTATCAGGAAATAAGAAAATGTCAGCCGTGGAACAACTCAAACTTTCCAAACAACAGATGCACCAGAAAACTCCAAACGAGAATAATAAACCTTACAATAACACCGGCGATATGACTATTCTAGATTTAAGTGCCTCTCCTAGAAGTTTAGTAAATCGAAGACTATTAAGCAATCCTCCTAGCAGTCCAGAAAGATCAACTGTGAAACCGACGCCAAAAATTTTATCGCCCAGATCACAGTGGAGGTTCCTTAATCCACGAAGTGACGTTTTATCTTCCACAATACTAGAGGATTGTAGGGAAGACGATTCTGGCAGTAACGCTTCGAAAAGTTCGTTGGAAAAAAGAAATGCGCAGAGTGTAAGAAGTTCCGTGGGGAGTCCGAAATTCACGCCAGAAGAACATTTGAGCAAACCTATAGATACAAAACAAATTCAAAGTTCCTTATGCCAAGATGTTGACAATACTTCAAGTAACACTAATACTAGTACTACTCGGTCTGAACCAAAACCTAATATAAAATATTCATCAGTAAGCGAACGGCTTTCTGCTCAGAGAGCTCAATTTTTTGGAACTACCGTTTCGACTGAAAAAAAGGAAACTACACCTAAAGTACCTCCTACTTTAGAAACTGCCTTTTAGATTTTAATTTAGTTTTAGTACAATGTAAATACTTGAAAGCCACGTTGAAACAATTTAGAAATGAAGTGATAAAAGTGCAGCTGTTTGTATATTAATAATAATTTATTTTTTTATTGTATGAACTCGCATTGCGACTAAAAGCTTCATATAGTTTAGTCGAGACGCACTATTTCTTACTTCATAGTATTTTCTTTGGATAATATTAGTTTATTCGACTTTCGTTAAAGATACTTCACATTTCAACCAATATTTTTCTAGTCTTAGCCATTTTTATTAGTTTACTTAGGTATTCTTAATTTGTCTGTTTTAGCTATGTACAAAGTTTTAAAATATTCAGGTTATTTATAAACAAAAGAACTTAATATATTACATTTTTGTAAATAAATTGCGAATAAAAATGATATGAATATTTCTGAGTATTTTTTCAATTTTGTTTTCCCTTCTAAAATTGGAGCGATGGATAAAATATGGTTGCTATAAACTTGATGATGCAAACATCAGCCTAGATTGTAAGAACACCTAAATATATAATATTATATGAGAAAAATACAAGAGAAAAAACTTTTTTATTATTGACATTTTGGAAAAATGCATCCTTCATAAAAATGTTTGCTTATTCTAAAATGGTTAATCCCGTTTATACTTTTCCAAATTTCCATGCCGTTTTAGGGAAAATTAAGAAAAAAAAATGAAAAATATGGTTGATTTTTTAAAGTCCTAAAAATCAAAAGGTGTTTCTATGGTAATATCAATTCGATTTCATTCTTTGATAGATGGTTATTGTTAATTTTGATTAATAATGTTATATTCTTTGTTGTTGTTAAAGTCAGAGTTAAAGTATCATATTTTCCGATAACTATCATCCTTTCCGTAGCATTGAACTAAATAAATTTTGTGCTTCTTTAACATTTTAAGACAACAAAAAAACATTACGTTAATTGAAATTTTATGACTAACAATATATCAAAGAGTGAATTCGAATTGATATTACCATAGAAATACTTTTTGATTTGGTTTGGTTTGGTTTGGTTTGGATTTTTTAGGATTTTAGGAAAATAATAATTTTTAGGATTTTAGGAAAAAATTCAACCATATTTTCGATTTTTTTTTTAATTTTCGGCATTTGTTTTAAAAAACGGCATGGAAATTTGGAAAAGTATAAACGGGGTTAACCATTTTAGAACAAGCAAAAATTTTTATGTCAAATTTTTATGTTAAAAAGTTTTTCCTCTTGTAAAGACAATCCGGGGACATATTGTATAATATGTATAACTCATGCCAGAAAAGTAAGAAGTTACGATGAGCAATATCAACGTTAAGCCCCATACTCATTACTATTATAGTGTTCGTGATATTCCTTTGGATGGTTTGCCCCAACGAAGTAAACTTCCACTGAACCGCCGCACAACCCATCGCATCGATGCACATAAAATCGACGCATTGGCGAACCGCGTCAGCGCATAGTGAATATGGGGTTGGTACTCACTATGCATGCATGAACGCATGACGCATCAGTGCATAATGAGTGTGGGACTATACCAAGATAAAATCAAAACACCTTATATTTTATAGGTTTGTTCGAAGTATATAGGAAGGCGAGTTTGATATTCATTTTGAATTGGTATTTAAAAAACGCCGTATATCAATTAAAACCTTGATTTAGACATACATATTATTTATAAGCCTTAAGCTATCCAGATGAACACTTTCCATCGTAAACACCCAAATACTCACATTTTTTCTAAAATATTATTATAGTATAAAAGCTTTGTTTACATATACAAGGCTGCCACCTATATGATTTGTTTGTATAGAACCTTATTTCAAACATTTTATTGATTACCAGTTTGGATGATAAAGAGAAAAAAAAAAAAAAAAAAAAGGTGATGAAAAAATATTTGAAAAATCTGACAGAGGATATAAATATACAAATAAATTATATAGATTTTGTTACTTAACTATATACCTTTGCTGCTGTGGCTGGGATCACCTGCCACTACCGAAGGCTCATCAGGTTAGCCTGGGCAGATCCACAAAATGATAACCACAGCGCAGAGTAGTTAATTTCGACTTGTTGGAAAGTGTCGGTCAGATATTAAGTCCCGAACAGGAGATAGCGGCCTGCATGCAATGGTAGTACTTTCGTACCACCGGGGCGCAACTATCGATAGTAAAAAGGATGGTAAAAGGCTTTTTTTCAAGCCACCATTGCACGCAGGCCGCCATCTCCCGCTCGGGACTTAATATCTAACTGACACTTTCCGACAAGTCGAATTAACTATCTCTGCGTGGTTGTCATTTTGTGGATCTGCCCAAGCTCACCTGATGATGGAGTAGGGCCCCGAAACCGGTAGTGAGAGCAGGTTGATCCACATTATGACAAACACAGCGTAGAATTAAATTTCTATATACAGTTAAGGGCAAGAATCCTTATATAATTTTATTATATACCTATACTGCAAGAAATTTTTTTTTTTGTTTTCTATTTTAAATATACAAAATTATACTAAGTACTCACTACACAACACATATCTGCTTATAAAAAATAAATAATGATCTTTATATAAGGATTATTCTGGTCATATTTGTAGTAGAATAATGTATTTTCTTGGGTATCGTCAAATAATATTTTTTTTTATTTCTATAGACGTTTCGGTTTATAATAAAGCATCATTTCAGATACTTTAAAAAATATATGGAAAAAATGACAAAATATGTTATTTTAAAATTATTTTTAGTAGTATGTACGCATCTAAAATTTTGATGTATTTTAAAGTTTTATATATTGTATTTTCATGATTTCCAGCTAAATTATTTGACTGTTTGCATTCTTTTAAATTAAAAATAGAACTTCCCATCTGTCTATCATACGAGGGAAAACAAAAAAATAAGTTAAAAAAAAAAAAAAAAAAAAAAAAAAAAAATTTTATGAAAAATATTCTACAGGGTGTTTTACCTTTCATCTAGTTGCATTCGATAGTTTGTTTTTGGATCTCAATAGCTTTTTTTTAGGTATTCGCTTTTGGAAGAAGACACACTCATTTTTTCGTAATTTTTACATTAAATCCATGCTTTTGTTTTTGGTCTTAGTTCAAAGTTCAAAGGTTTACGTAATGTCAGGGGGTGGGGTATTAGTAATAATTTTCTTATATAAGTTTTGTTTTTTTCGTCATTATCGGTAACATTTTATTTTTTTTAAATTACGAAAAAATGTTAGTGTCTTCTTCAAAAGCAAATATCTCCAAAAATATAAAGCTATTGAGATGAACCACAAAACCAAACCATCAAGAAAAGATATGAAGATACAGAAAGAGATAGAAAAGATGATACAATAATGTTTAAATCCCTTGCTTTGTTAACATATTTTACAGGGTGTTTCAAATTTTTACTTTTACAAAAATATCAACATTTTGTTTTCCCTCGTAGAACTGATGAGAACTTTCGTTTTTAATTTGGAAAGATATACTAAAAAGTTAAATACTTTAGCTACGAATTAAAAATCATCAAAATGGGTCCACTAGAACGAAATATAATAAACTTTAAAATACATCAAAGTTTTAAGGTGTCCGTTTTTCGTGCCGGCTTTTTCTCTTGATGTTTATTTGTTAATTTATATTATAGTTTATCCTTGATAAACAAGGGTTTGATTTGATTTGATTTGTTTTGAAAAATGCAACATTTGAAATTCTTGTATGTCATTTTATTATATAGCTACTGAAGATAGATTAAAATAACCCAGAAAAAAAACCTTTAAAAAAAGTTTTTTTTTTTTTTTTTTTTTATAACAAAATATCTTTTTTCCATAACGCTCCAAAAAACAGCTATTTTACGGACTCATTTCAGTCCGTAAAATGTCTCTTTTTCGGCCTAGGCCATAAAGGTCGTCATGGCAACCTTTATGGACTAAAAAGTCTAACGTTATTTGGTTGTTTTATTTTGTCATTCGAAATTTGTCACAAAAAATCACATAAAATTAAGTACATATTTGAAAATTAAATTATTAAATACTAACAATATCAAAAGCTGAGTTATTTGTTTAAAGTAAGTACCTAGGTACCTATTTAAAAGAGGCTTTTAAATTAAAATATTCTTAAATTACAGTCACAAACAAGACATAATCATGTGGTACATTTTTGGCCTAAGACAAGGTTATTTTCTATACAATTCAACTGGATTGACAACGTTCCCTTCGTTCACCACCGGAAATTCTTTGATATTAGTTTTGTATCCGCAAGGGTAACTAAAAGGCAGCTGTTGTCTTTTTCTATGATGTCTTGCACTCGTAGAGAGTACAATTCTTCTCTTCTACATGCTCCACAAAGGCCAATAACAAGAGCTACCTAAAAATCAAATACAATGGAATAAGAAACCATCTATATATTTTAAAATCATTATCGCAAACTTACCTTAGTAAGTGAATAAGTTTCATCACTAGCTGTGGCCAAAAAATCACCGATCTCTTTATGGACAAAACCTTAGACTTTTAGGCTCGTAACCAACCGAATTCCTCTTCAAAAAAGCAATAAGTTTTTGAAATTTGTCATCATAAATATCTTCTTTAACACTTAACACTGCTCAGCATGGAATATTTCGACCAAATTGACGATGGTTTGAATGTTTGTAACTGTAATTTAAGAATATTTTAATTTAAAAAGTTTTTTTTTTTTAAATAGGTACCTAGGTAATTACTTTTTCGTGGAAATAATTTAGCACTACATCTTCATTTACAACGAATACGCCATTTTTGCCTTTCCATTCATTAAAACATCATATTCTTTCTGATAAATGGCACGAGACTTCAGGAAGTAAATCCAACACGATTTCTTTAGCCTTATTAGCAATATGTTCGGGATTTTGGAACATTTTAAAATTGTTGATGAATTTGTGATTTTGTGACAAATTTCGAATGACATGTCAAAATGCGATGAAATAAACAAACTCGTTACTAAGATATGAATTTATAAGCCAACTTTTTCAAACATTATAATTTCAAATATGGAAAATTTGAAAATATGCGTTCTAAAAACTGTAAAAAGCGTATGACAAATAGTGTATGTAACACGGTTTGCCATTATAGTTTTTAGACTATTTTGGACTCGGCTAACGCCTCGTCCGCAAACAGCAATGATTCGTCCTAAAAACATCATTTTAGGTACTAGTTACATAAATATTGTATGTCCGACGCCGTTCATAATAATTATTAATTATATAAAGAATTCAGTTTATGGGATTAAAATTATTGTTAATATACAGTATGTCCCGGATTAGAGTGGAATCCCCAAGGCAAAACAAGGCAAGGACGACCTGCTCAAACATGGAGATGTTCCATACTGATGAGCTTCAACAAATAGGGTCAACATGGAAGGGAACAAAAACAACTATCAAAAATAGAACTCGATAGAGATCGAGCTTTCACTGAAACCCTTTGATCCGCGTAGGAGATACAGGACTATATGTCCCCGGATTGTCTTTATAAGAGGAATCACTTTTTAATTATTGACATTTTGAGTAAGAGCATTTTTCATAAAAAAATTTGCTTGTTTTAAAATGGTTAATCCCGATGACTTTCTTCATTTCCATACCGTTTTAGAGAAAATTAAGAAAAACATAAAAAAATGGTTGAATTTTTCACGCGTTTCAAAACGCGGTTTCTATAGTAATATAACTTTGTTTTCATTCTTTGATAGATTGTTATTCATTTTTTGTTATTTGTTAATTAACGTAGGTAATGCTTTTTGTTGTTTTAAAACGTTAAAGAAGCACAGAAATTATTTAGTTCGATGCTACGGAAAGGGTGATGATAGTTATCGGAAAATATGATACTTTAACAATAGAATATGATGTTAATCAAAATTAATAATAACCATTTATCAAAGAATGAATCGAATTGATATTGCTTACAGAAACGTCTTTTGATTTTTACTTTTGAATAAGAAGACCATGGGAAGGAGCATATCTTAGGTACACCGCGATAGGCCTCAAATATGGTAGACTTAAATTCCGCTTTATCAGTGTCGTTCTAATTTTATTTAAAAAATGTAAACTATGATGTAGGGTAGACGGGGTATACTAATAATTTGTTGTTTTATTTTACGTTGTGAATAAATGGTAGATATTAAAATTGTTAAGTAAAATATCTAATTTAATAAAAATAGATAAGTTATAATAAGTATTTATTAACACAAATATCCGATACGCTACTGAAGCAGGTAAGTCAAATTAACGTATCTAAATTCTTTCACATCTAATCTTTTGACAAGTAATAAATAAAAGCTAAATGCAAGAAAAAATATAATTTAGTTAATTTGGGCGGGAATTTCATAAATGATCGGTTTACTACACGTATATTATATAGTCACTTACTGGCGAAAAGTTATTCCATTATTTCACCTCACTTTTTGCCGAGATCTACCGCACGCCACACAATCAACTATTTTAGAGTCTTTTTCGATACATCGCGATAGTGTCAGTGTTAATTTAAGTTCTGCCACAATTTCCATCTAGATTTACTACCTTTATAAACTATCAGTAGTAGAATAAATAATAAATAACAAAATAAGTTCCGTAAAGACTGACAAATCCACAAAATTTCAAATTAAACTAAATGTGTCAAATGAATCGTCAAACAGAACTGTCAAGGATCCCCACCCTAGAGAGCTTTTATGGTGGCTTTTTCCGCCCACCATGCATGAATACACTGATAGCATTATGCTCCCTTCCCCTTTCTTTAGTCTTTATTCAAAGTTATGCTCCTTCCTTAGTCTTCTTATTCAAAGGATTTTTAGGAAAAAATCAGCCATATACAGGGGTGGTCCAAACTGTATTCCTGAAACTTCGGCAGCATATTCTGCAGATAAAAATAAGTAAATGGCTACGAGTATCGGTTCTCGAGATATTTGGAATCGAAAAAAACAATACATGTCATCATTGATATAAATTAAAACATGTTGACTAAATAGTTATTAGACTGAAATCATAAATTTGAAATATTTTTTGTACCAAAAGTTCAACAGAAACTGTTTTATCATAATTTTAGAAGAAAAATTTATGATTAATTTAAAATAAACATTTCTCAAATTTCAGTCAAATAAAACTATCTATTCTTAACATATGTTTATTATAGGTAGTAGTAGTAGTATAACATGTATTGGACTATTTCCATTCTAAATATCTTGAGAACAGTTGCTCGTAGTGATTTTTACCAAAAGCATATTTACGTAAAAATCAAGTTTTTTAAAAAATGTATATTTTTTTTACTCAGTGGCTTTATACAGGTACGGACGAAAAGTTATTGCTCTTCAAAAACAGTTAAACACAAAATCAAATTTCATGTCAAAAAACTCCCGACACCAACTTTCATCAAATTTGATGTTAATTCAAATTTTTATTATTGATGAAATTTTATTATATATAAAAAAAAAAAAGTTTTCCTCTTGTAAAGACAATCTGGGACATACTGTATATTGAGAATATTTGTGTTTTAAAGGGTGTCCAGAACTAAGTGCAAGTATTTTAAGGTGGTAGATCTTGATAAAAGAAACATATTTTCTCTTATCGTTTTTCAAATAAGTCCAAAAATAAAGGATGAGTTTATTCTACTTTGAAAATTTCCAAAAAAAAATATTTTTTGGTTAAAATTTTTTTTTTTTTTTTGTATTATATTTTCTTTCTTTGTAAATTTAGTCTACGTTATCTACTAATTTACTTACGTTGTTATATTATCAAGAAATTGTTTTTAACTAAAAACTAAAAAAATCCAAAAAATTTTTTCAAAAATTTTGAATTTTCAAAAAAATATTTCGCGAAAAAGCATCATAGGCGTGTTTCTAAAGCCGAAATATACTTCCCCTAAAATTACTTGCACTTATTTCTGGACACCCTGTATATATGAAAAGACAAATCTTTTATTAATATAGGTACATTATGTCTCCCGATTGTTTTTACAAGAGTGAAAACTTTTTATTATTGCAATTTGAGAACAACGCATATTTCATAAAAATTACATCCTTATACTTTTCCAAATTTCCATCGAAAAAAAATCTAAATCGACATGTGTTGGTTTACAGGAGATAAAATTCAATTTTCTAGAACAAAAAACATTAATTGATTTGATTGAATATTTTTTTTTTTTTTTTTTTTTTTTTTTTTTTTTTTTTTTTTTTTTTTTTAAGTTAATATATTTTATTAGAATAAAAGTAAATAAAAAAAGTTGTATTGCACTTTATAAGCAATTCCGTTTATGGTATGAGTAAATTATCCCCTTTTAATTGATTTTCACTACTACAATGTCTCTTGAATGTATAACATAATATTGCAATGAATTCAAAGAAATAATACACATAATATGGCAAAAAATCTACCTGAAACATCTAGGGAGGCCACAAGTCTCATAGAATATAAATATGTAATGAGGTGTCATAAAACTTTAATTACATATATTTCAATTGATATCACAATTCAATATAAAAGATGATAAGTACAATGTTTATTGTATTATAGAAATTTATTTCAACAATAGGCATTTACCTTTATATACTATAAAGTTGTTTACCATTGTCTAATGATTCTCATTTGGATATAATTCTATTAAAATATCCAATTTTTTTCCAATGGTATATAGGTATTAGGGTTACCGGAAATGGAGCTGGTTTTTCGGAGCCGGGAATTTCGGTACCTTGCCTCTAAGGAACCAGGATTTTCCGGTTTTGTCAGTACTCCCGATACTATAGGAAATGTTCAATGATTGTGCAGTTCGTCAATCACCAAGCAAATGATGGTTTTCAAAAGTAAAATCGTTAAAAAAAAAAAAAATTCTAGTTTTAACTGAAAATAATATCAAGTGTCACGCTGGTGAGAAAATTAAAATGAATACAAATGAAGCGAAGGAAAAAACATATAGGTAAAATTTACATCAAACAACATAAAACCAAATTAACTATAAATTTGAAGAAGTTAGAAAATATATTTTTAATTAAAAATTAATGCAAATGAATATAAAAACATAAAAAATTATAACTAATACATTTAGCAACATTATACTAAATGATAAACTAACATATTTAAACTTCAATATTTGCTAATAAACATTATAGAAACTTCAAAAGAACTTCAAAAGTAAGAAAAGTAAGAGATAGCATCACTACTTATTGAGAAGAGTTTGATTTCGACACCTAGAAAGCATCAATGGACAAATTTAATTATTGTTACCGGAAAGTGCCAGAAAGAACCAGGACTGTGCCTCTAGTCCCGGTTCTTTAATGTCCGAAAAGAACCGGGACTGGTTCTGAACCTTAATCAGGTGTACCTCTTAGGTGTATCTATTAAAAAAAATAATGCCCTTAAACAATTTGATGTAAATAATGCAGGATAAAGTTGTTTTCTTAATATGTAGAGTTGTAGTACTTATAGAAGTCAATGATAAATATTGGAGAATCCTTTTCAGTGAATATAATATAAAGAACCTTATACTTTACTAATATTTAATAAATGTAACATAGAGTACATAAGAGAATTTAAGCAATTAAGTGCATTTAGAAAATAATATACAAAAGAAGCGGGCAGAAAATTTCACTATAATAGAGGCCAGAAAAAGAAACTACTGTATCTTATAAACATTTTTATTACAAACATACACCACTATGTACACATATATTGTATGATCATAAAGTTTTATGAGCAAGCCAGCTTTCTCTCTTACTTTACAAAAAAACTACCGTAATTCACTACACATATTGTTGATCTGCTAGCATGCGTGATCATAAACTTAATTATTGAATTATTTACGTCATATAAAACTATACACAGAATCAAAACTTATTTGGGAGCTATTGGCGGCCTAACAGGTCCCATGGGTCCCATTGGACCCATGTGCATCATTCCCATCATTGGTGGCCTCATCCCCATCATAGGTGGCATAGGTCCATGAGGGCCCATCACCATCGGAGGCATCGGTCCCCCAGGTCCCATAGCTGTAAGAAAAAATATATTTAATATCTATCCATACATTCAATAAATTTATGTCTTACCTCCTGGTGGAATCATTCCTGGGCCCTGCGGTGGTGCACCTGGTCTCTGTCCTAAGAGCTGAGCTGGAGGTGGAATAGCAACTCCTCCTTTTCCTGGCTGTGCAAATGGATTATTTGCAATTTTGCCTGCTTTAAACGCTGCTGTTGTGGCATCGATAAGGTGTTGAGCCTAAACATATTTAAAATTAATAAGATAATCTTAGAGCACATTGAGGTAAATTTAAACACTATGAATAAAATATTTATAACAAATGTATACAGATGCACCGAAAAAACTTTGTAAACACGTATGGATACTAAAATAATAACTGAACTCAACTTAATTTTAGTGAGAACCTTAAATGTAATATACATCTATTATATTATGGTGTTTACTGTTATACACCATACGGTTGTGGTACTAAACACTAACTAGAAAGCAGTAAGTTACATACCTGTTCCTCCATCCATTTTTGGTAATAAAACTTAACATTGTCCTTATGTTTCCTTCCAGTACAGTGAGTTTTCCGTACGCTTGGGGAATCATGTGTTAAATACGTATCACAGTAATCACAATAGTACTTAGGCATTATGAACGCGCAAATATTTTACTTGAAAGAACTTTAAACTAAAAATCACTCAAAAGTAGAAGTACTTCTTGATATTTTCGGTTTTATACTACTTTACAGAATGAGCTTGTGTTCTTTAAAAACAGAGCTTTTATAACCTCAATAACCTGTTTATAGCATTACCAAAGATTAACAGATGATTAACAGATAGTTGACAGTTGACAGCATGTTGAGCTATGGATTAAACAAGAGCGGTCATTTGTGGTGTCACAAATTCCTTGCTCATATATGCGGGTCATATATTTAAATTTCCTGATTCAGTTTATCATTTATTATTCTTTAAAACACTCTAGCAGTGTACAGCAGGTGTACAGTAATGTAGTATAAAACTTCAAATTCTTAATTATACCCAAAGATTATACCCTTAGACAAGGAAAGAGAGGGACAGCAAAGCCCTGTTCTCAGAACAGCGACTGTCGCCAGCGACACATCAAGAGGACCAATGAGATTTGTACAAAATTCAAACAGCTGTCAATTTTAAATTTAGTCAGCTCCCATTGGTTGTTTGAAATGTCAAACTGTGTCGCCAGCGACACGACGTTCTGAGAACGGCTGCACGTTCTGAGAACAGGGCTACACGCAGCCCAGTGAAAAATTTTTGAGATCAAAATTTGATCGGCGGCCATACTTTTGTGACAAGATTTCGAGGTGACACCAAGCGAATTTTTATGCTTTTTGTGAATACTGTTTTGTTTTAAATTTATAAACTGTGTTGTTTAGTATGGTGAAATGTTCAGCGTATGGCTGCAAAGGCCGAAGCGAGAAAAAGTGGCTGAAATTACATTTCACAGGTAAAAAACGATACACAACTTTTGTTATGTGGTCATAAATGTAATTTTTTCCATTATAGCAGTAAAAATATGTAAAATGCTTTCAATATGTCTTGTACCACATACTAACAAAACTATTTTTAATAATTCCAAATAGTATTTTCAATATCCTGTGTTATAATTAATGTTTGAAACTATAAATAACGCTACTCAGCATGGATTTCTCCAGCGGCGTAGGGAATTATAATTAGAGAAATACAATTTTCTGCAATAAACATTTTTTACATATTTTACACTTAAAAAAATGTATAAAAGTATTGTTATCAAATAAGTAAAATAATTGTAAACTATAAAAAAATGAAAAATTTTTTTTTTTTTTAAATTTATATGTATATAGTTGTTATATAAAACTTAAATTTACCTGCCAAGATTTGCTGGGGGTTGACAAACTTGTGGTGGGCTACTGAGTTACTTATATTTTTTTAAATATTCTTTCAAGAAATTTGCTAATTTAGGTGTATAATAACAGTTTCAGTAAGCAATTAATAAAATTTAAAAATAAATAAAATAACACAAAAAGCTTTTAGGAATTGTTTATTTTTTTGGTGGAATATAAGAATATTCTTATGATTGAGTTGTAACAGTTGTACTGTTCATTGAATTGGTACGCAACCGTGAAGGGATTCATTAGTATGACGATTCAGTTGTACGACGATCGATGACATTCCCCAATTTTACATATAAAATGACAGCGATCTTCATTTCATATAGCCATCGCTGACGCTGTCTTTTTTTCGATGTCGTTTTATAGTTTTTGTCATTTTATATGTAGAATTATATGGGGAATGTCATTGATCGTAATTTACAAGCCAACTGGCTGCTCGCTTTTTTTTCGATCATACAGTATAATAATGAATCTAGCTAATCCCCTTCACACTTGCTTACGGATTCAATGAATAATGTAATTTTTAATATTAATTTAGAATTGTCATTTCCAAACAAACAAGACACCGTTTTTTTCGATCATACGGTAATATGTATATACATTATTTAAAATATATATATTTACATTATTTTTATTTAATTATTATACACACACGTTAATAAATAAATAATTGTCTTGATAATCAGTCCACTGTGACTGTTAAATAAATTTTTGCATTATCGACTGAGATATTCTAATATTATAAAGATGAGACTATAAAATACAAAATTGTATATGCATTACTCAAAAATGAACGATATATTATTTTATTTTAATAAATATTTTATACCGTCTAGGTACAAGCTAATTTATGAAGCTACGCCATTGGAGAATTTCAGTGGTGACAACTTGCCTCACTTTCAGCTGCCCTGTTACCTGTCCCCTCTCTTTCCTTGTCTAAGATTATACTCATTATACTAATCCATTTCAGTACCAATTAACAATGAATGCACTGAATGCACCTTGCATACACACATATTTTAATATAGTATTTTTGGTTGCCTAACCACAATGTGTATATAAATAATAAAAGTCCTTTATTTTCGGCTCGACCAAAGGTAGATGTTTACTTAACTGTTGTGTGCTTAAAAACATAAATAATATAAGAATCAATCATATCGTTAAACATTATGTTTTGATATAAAAGTTAATATGATTATTGTTCATATACAGTTCGGGTACGCCCTTGGGTACGCCCAGAGGGTACGCCCAGGGTACGCCTAATATATTTATAACCACAGAATACCTATTTATAACTGTCAACTTCAACTTATTTTGGAAAGTGCGTGATCTGTGATCTGTAGCCCTCAGCGTTTCATATGTTTATTTTTTATATACTTGTATTTATTTTGGATTTTAAAACTAACAAATCTTAATAAAACAATTTCTCCTTAAATTATTTGGAGAAATCTACTTGTTCGTTAAAATGGCAACCGACGAAAATTTTGAAACGGTATTTGCAAATCGGTCAAATTCCAACAAAATATTTACATATTTGTTTACAGTTTGAAGAAGACGATGCTGCTGATACATCGGTAGCATTAAGTACAGCAGGCAGAAAGAGGCTTTTTAGTAAAGAATTGAGGTGCATGATGTATGGCTTTGGAGATGATCAAAACCCTTACACAGAAAGCGTAGACATTATAGAAGATTTAGTTATTGAATTCATTACTGAAATGACATAGTATGTTGTTTAAATATTGTAACATAAAATTGTTAAGCTTTGTGTTAATAAATATTTTATTTAAATTTTAGAGCCATGGAAATAGGTCGAACTGGAAGAGTACAAGTGGAAGATATAGTATTTCTAGTACGCAAAGATCCAAGGAAGTATGCAAGAGTTAAAGATCTATTAACTATGAATGAAAGAGCTAGAAAGGCTTTTGATGAAATTAAGTTTGTAGGTAATGTCAAATGATCAGACTGCAAATTAATTAGAATTATATTTTGATTAATGTGCACGAGTAGCATTTATGTTTAATAATGTAGATTACTATAGATTTAGTTCCTTTTATATTTAGTATGTACAATTGATGCATGGTAGGTATTTAGGAATTTTTTATATTTATATTAGTATTCAACAGATTTTAAGATGTATTGTTTTATATAATAAAACTTAATTTTTATTTTATTTTGGCATGAGAATGCTTTTTTTGCTAGACTATAAATATTTATACCAATCTTCATAAAAGTTTTTTTTCAGGCAAGGAGGCATTAATTAATTAATGATATTTGGTGTATTAGATAACTACTTGTATAAATATATTTATAAATAAATGTGTATTATTTTGAATTACAATTAGTTCTCTGACTTAGAAACTATTTAAACAAATCTAAAAATAAAAAAAAAAAAAAAAAAAATCCTTAATATATTGAATTATTCACTGCATTCTTTGCAGATATTATTACATCATTTATACCAACACCATGATAAGAGGATCCACATAATGATAAAGGTAAACTATTGTTCTTAATGTAATTATCAATACTACTTAAGTTACTTTCATGTCCTACTACATATTGTGGAATGCAGTCTTTTAAAATTTGAACTTTATACCTTAATGGAGGAGTTTGTATTTTAATTAGTTTTAATATCTTTTAAAGTTACAAAATTAAGCAATTAGGATTGTCTTACCAAAAAGCTCCTTAAACCAGTAGCCCCCCATCATAACAGTCAAAACAGTATTATCATATGGATGCTGGCAAGAGTCATATATCACTCCTAATATAGATGGGGTTTCACTTGGTGGAACTAAAAATCCAAAACCAGGCTCTCCAAGCTGATTGCCCTGAAATTCTAGATTTACAACACCTACTGTAACAGTTTTGATTCTATTCAACATTGTTGCTAATTCAGGATGTTCATCTTTCAATAAAGATGCAAGATCTTTGGCCCCAATAGAACTTATAATATGCTCACAACAATAACTATTACCATTTGAAGTTTCTATTACAGCACTGTTATCTTTAAATTGAATTTATTTAAAATATATAAAAAAAAAAAAAAATTATTTGTTTAATATTTAGTTCCAAAGCTTTTGTAAGTGTCTCTATGCCATTATTGAAGGTGTAAACATTCCAGCGTTCAACCTTAGCTCTTGTTGCTAATGGTTTTCGAACTAAAGAATATCTCTTCCTAACAAAAATATTATTGAATATACCTTTACAGATACTACCATATTTCTGTTCATACTCAAACAAGTTTTTCATTAAAAATTTAACACTGATTTCTTTAGCATTTCCTGCACAAATACCCCTTATTAATGGACTAATTAAATAATCTGCAATTTCAAACTAAATCTTCTTTGGTAAATCATAACAGATTCATCATCATTTACAATTTTGACTTTAGCTGTAATATCTCCAAGGAGCCACAGAAACAATGGTTTGGAAAAAGGTTTCTGAGTTAACACGTAACTGAACGAAGTGTGTGTAATTCACTCATTTGGGCCACACCATTCGGTTTTGGCTGCGGATTACTACCAATATTGGTCGAATGTCTGAACTTAAATTTAACTCCTCAATAAGATCTAACGTATTTATACCATGGATTCCACTAGGTCGAATTGTTCTCGGACCCTGTTCAAAAATAACGCCGTTTTCATTTATCTCAGATTTTATCCATCCACCAAGCCTGTTGGCTGCTTCCAATAAAACTATTTTTGATGGTTTACTTTGGAGAGATAATAAGCAGCTGATAGTCCCGATAAACCGCCACCTAATATAACTTTTGTCATCTTTTAAAATGTCTGACAAGCATTAATATAATTAATAGCCAGCTAATAATACTAAATTAAATATCAACACGATTCGTCATTTCGGTCTCTGTTTCGGTACAGCATGGGTACAGCCTTAGGGTACAGCCTTTGAATAAGTGGTGGTACAGCAGACAGCTGATCAGAGCTGATCAGCTGATTGCACAGATGACAGATGACTGCTGATAATTTAAAGTCTGTATAGTTAGTTGCCTATGATACGTAGATGTTTATTTGTAAAAATATCAATCCCTGTTCAAAACTGTTTTACCAGCTATTCTCTAACAAATACCGTATGATCGAATAAAACAGCGTCAGCGATGGCTATGAAATGACGATCGATGACATTTTCCATATAATTTTAGGTAAAGGTGTGGATCCGGTGGCTGACCTTGAAGCCAATATTTGCTGCTTTTGATCATCGATTCTACGCAAGCGCACATCGTCGATGTTGCCACATTGCAGTTTATTTCGAATTATTTTTAGTCAAAAACAAAAAAAAAAAAAAAAAAAAAAATTAATAATAAGTTTCAAATTCTACAATTAATTTTATAATTTCAGATTTGCCTTGATATCAAAAATTAAGGTAAGAAGGATAATGGAGATTGTGAAGTTAAGGTATTATAATTGTAATCGGAGTTCTAAGTAATATAATAATGTAATAATAATATATTTATTTATATATTTACATTATAATTAAAAAATTATCATTTACGGATTTTTTCTAATTAGTTTAAAACTATTAGTTCTATTTTGTATCATCAATATGACACATTTATTGCAGCCATTGTAGGTATATATTTTATTGAAGAATGCTGATAGATTAAAATAAGTTTTATGCTTTAATCATTTTCTGTTCTGTTACTGTGTGTACTTAATATCCTGTATATTCTTTTCTTAATTACTGTAATTTCTCTCCTATATAATACCAATATCTTTGATAATATGGTTAAGATTCATTTCTGATCTTATTAGACTAACTTAAAACTTAAGTTAGTTTTTGTGATTTATATTAAGATATTTATAATTTTTTATGTCTTAATACCTCTACTACATATTATACTTTGTGGTGTGGAGAATAAATGATAAGATATCTTAATACCTGCAAATCCTTTCCATTAGGAAAATATTGTTTGAGATCATATTATATGCTAATAAGAAAATCACATAAATTAGGTGTAAGATAGAAAAATCTTGTTACAGAAAAAATTAATGCAATATAAGCAGATACAAAATAAGATACCTATTAATACTGCTCACTTTACAGTTATAATTACGGAGACCTTTTTAAGGCCTACGTAGTTTTAATGGAATGTTATAAAATCTATTATGTACATGATATGAAAGTTACAGCATTAAAAATTCAAAAAAAGAAGAAACTTGGACACATCCCTTAATTTTGCGAATTTTTAATAAAGCACTTTTTAAACGTAGTATAATAAATCTAGAGCAATTAGATTAGAGTTTTATTTCTATTTAATTTATTGACTATGAAAATACATAATAAGCATTCACGTATTGTGTGAATATTAAAAATAATACCAAAATAATATCGTATGATCGAAAAGAAATGGCGTCAGCGATGATTATGAAATACCGTTGTAATTTATACGAAAATGTCATCGATCCTCATTTCGCAGCCAACTGATGCCGTTTTTTTTCGATCATACGGCATACATTGACAAAAAACGCTGAAAAATTAATATTTGTTTTCTTCGAAAATAATTCCAAAATAACCTGCAATCTGGCAACATCGACGATGTGCGCATGCGTAGTATCTGTGACTATATGCAGCAGAAACTCGTTTCAAGGTCAGCCACCGGATCCACAATTTCATTACCCTTACATAATTTTATATATAAAATGACAGCGATCTTCATTCCATAGCCATCGCTGACGCTGTTTTTATTCGATCTGCTACGGTATTTATTATTACAAAACAAACAATTATTACGAAACTTTTAATCAATTTATGCCCAGAAAATGCTCATAAAATTCTATGTAAAAAAATCCAATTATAATATCATTTGGCTATTCAAAAAGCAGCATATAGGTATTGTATTTTTGTTTACTATCACTGTGTTTTATTTTGAGTTAATGCGGAAAACCGCATTAACTCCTACCTTATTACCTCCTATTTTGAGTTAATGCGGAAACCGCATTAAATTCAAAAGAATGGGATGCAAATGTTCAAAATCTTAGTTTATTATTTTAGGAGACAAATTTGTGTGGCACTATGTGCGCACATTTGACTAAAACGTAATTCGGCTTTCTTGTTCGTCTGTTGTCCGTTTGTCGGTCCTGTCTGTGTCCGTCCGCCTTCTGATGAAGATGTAAACGAAACGTCGTATCCAACTTTGCAAACTGGGACCTTGTGTACCGTTGCTCACATAGCCTGCCCACCAAATTTGTATGGTTGCGATTTTTAGACTCCATAGTTGCGATCGGACATCAACTTTGCCATTTACGTCAAAACTATATGTCACAGTGACACGTATCGTGCACGGTGGCCTTGGTCCAGTCTATGGAGTCTAAAAGAGTCCAATCTATGGAGTCTAAAAGAGTCCAATCTATGGAGGCCAGCAACCAAACCAATAACACATAGGCTTGTTTCTGGGTTTGAACTAATAGGGGAAGGCAGGGCAGAACGGGATACTTAACGTTTGATGGTTAACTGTCACCCCAATATTAACCAAAAAAAATATTTTTGCATCGTTGTATCTCTAAATATTGTAAATTAAGCCTCTCGCTTTTTTTAACAGTTAAACACATATTTTAAAGAAAATTATTATGAGAAACCAAAAAGGTGCATTTTGTCCCATTCCGCCCCAGGGGCGGGGCAGGATGAGGTTTTTATATATTTTACTTA